ACGTGGATGAACTTGGAGGACATTATGCTGAGTGAAATAAGTCAATCACAAAAGGACAAATATTGTATTAGTCCGTTATTGTGAAAGTCAAGGAAAGGTTTATCTATGGAAGGAAATTTTCTTTGTTGGTTACCAGAGGTGGGAGGGGAGGGAAGGGACCACTGTTAGATAGATAGAGAGAAGTATTGATTTGGGTGAGGAGAAGGGCAATGTACCAAATGTGAGTGGTCAGCTTGGTGGCATTGAGGAAGAGAAAGACAGAGAGAGTTATATGGGAGGTACAGACAACAAAGATGAACCCTTTTGCACATACAGTACTGCATTGTCAGTGAATGGAAACATGGGTATATGGGTGGATAGATGAGTGGACAGACTGAACTAGTAGGTGTATCTATGAGGCAGGGAGTATACCTAAGAACATGTATAGGGTTGGCAGACAATGGTCCTATAAGTTTATGTGTGTGATCAGAATTCCCAAGTGTATAGTAGAGCTGACAAGGGGCAAGGTTCTAGTTACTTCTTGGTCACAGCCAGCTACCCAGAGGGACCTAGTAGTTGAACCTGTGGGCTCAGGACCATAGTCGCAAGTGACATCAAGCTCAATTGGCATAACATACTACTCAAAACATTGTTCCATCTCCTACTTTGGCAAGTAGTGACTGGGATCTTAAAGCTTGCAAGCAGCCATCTAGATGTAGCGATGGGTCTCTCCTCATCCAGAGCAAAGAAGAATGAAGAAAACCAAAGATGCATGGAAACAGTTAGTCCTGGTGACTGCTATACCATGCGATCCACAGCCTATATGACTATGAGACCAGAAGAAATAGATGGTGCCCAGCTACCACTGTCAACCACTCAGCGGGGGATCTATATAGGAGATGCTGGATAGAGAGGGAAAACAATGTGGAACAAAACTCAAAATCATTTGGGAAAAAAAGGGGGAGCCAGGTTTGCTGGTCTGATAGAGCCTGGTGGAACCACTAGACTATGGCCCCTAGCTGCCCTTCAGGTCTGGAATTGAACTCACACCTGTGGCTTCCAGCCAAACAAAAGACAGGCATAGGAGTTGAACATGTACCTGAGGTAGATACACTCCTTGGAGAGAATAATCATGGTAGAAAGAAGGGCTGCTTATGCATAGGGAGACAGCTGGGGGCAGGAGTGCATGGAGGGATGAACACAGGGAAGAGGTAGCTATCGGGAGGAAGTGGAAGGGGAGCTGTTGCATTGTGGTAAATTGTGGTCAATGTCATGAGACAAAGTATATGTGAACTGCTGTATGGAAAGTGAATTCACTCTGTAAATTTTCACCCAAATCACAATTAAAAAAGAACAGGTTATAAAAGAGCATGTTTAACATTATCCTTTCATATGAAATTATGGTAATGTGAGTGTGTCTACGTATAAAGAGACATGTTTTCTGAAATGCAGCAATGATTATTTCCAGGTCATGGAGTTTTAGGATAAATTTTACTTTGTATTTTTCTGAATCTTTAAATGTAATTTTATATAAACTGTTCAATATGTGTAAAAACCTAGGAAAACACAATTTTTTTATAGTTTATTTTGGATAAAGCAAGTATACTTCCAATAATTCATTCAAATATCATTGGATAAATGTTCAAAATAAAATATGAGAATATTTGTTACAGTCTTTATAATGATAGAAAATAGAAAGTAGCAATCAATAGAGGATTGAAAAATAAATTTAGGTATATTGAATATTTTGAAAAATATGTAGCCAGTTAATAAGTTGACACATATTTACTGACATGGAAAATGTCTGTTGTGTTAAAAAACTGGTTATAAAATAATGATATTGTACTAGTAAATATAAGTATTTTTATGTGCATATGCTTATCTATAAGGAGCTCTGGTGGTGTAATGGGTGAGGCGTTTGGCTGCTAACCAGAAGGTTGGTGGTTCAAAACCCACCAGCTGCTTTGCCAGACGAACTTGAGACAATCTACTTCCATAAAGATTTACAGCCTTAGAAACCCAATGGGAGTTGCTATGAATCAGAATCTACTTGATGGCAGTGAGTTTGTTTTTTTTTTAAATAGTTATCTATGGGTATTTTTCTCATTGCTTATCTCTATTTCCCAACATTACTATAGTGTCCATTGTATTTCTTTGTAACATTTAAAATGCTTATAACTGTGTTGTAGACTATTTATTTTATATGTTGTTGTTGGTATGTGCCATCGAGTCAGACCCGACTTACAGCGACTCCTCCTTGGGTTTCCAAGGCAGTATCACTACGAAGTAGATTGCCCAACCTTCCTTCCGAGGAGTGGCTGGTGGGTTTGAACCACCAGTCTTCTGGTTAGCAGTCAAGTGCCTTAGGCACTGTGCTACCAGAGCTTCTATTTTATATGTAGGCAGAGCTAAAAAAAAAAGTGTAGGAAGTTTTGGAGAATTGTGGCATTGCCAGTATTTTACAATTACAGTAATCCAGATTTTTCAATTCTGGAAATGTTGAAAATTGCTCCTTTTGTTAATTGTTGTTATAACCTTTTCAAAACCTGAAAACTTTAGGAAAAAACATGATAATTCATTTGATATAATAATGTTTATTTTTTGCCCTTGTAACTATTTAAGCTTATAATGTGTGTATGTTGATATTTTGTTACTTAGTATTCCTATTGTGTATATTGTATTTATTTTCTATTTATTAGGTTGTATCCAGGTTTCCAGAAGGTTTGCTTATTTCTAAACTGCTTGGAGAGTTTGAGGTGAGTGTATTTTTTTCCACCAAGCATAGTTTCATGAGTTATGTTTCGAGTGATACAAATTTTATTGCTACTCCATTGATCCTTGAAGTCAATGACTTAACACTTAAACATCTTACTTAGCATTTCAGTTTTTTTCTTTATTCTAATATTAAAATCTATGATCTAAAAGTTAAGAATTACAGTCCTTAACAAATAATTAAGCAATAGGAAGGGTATTTTAAACAATTATTCTCATAATGTCATTAGAATAATATTTATTTTTAAAGTCTGACAGTACCACAAATCAGTGGGGATGTGAAGAAGCAATACCTCATATACTGCTTGTGGAATGAAACTATTTAGAGAGCATTTTGGCAGTGTTAGATATCAAGTGAAGTTGAAGGCATGCATCCCCAGTGATCCAGCAGCTCCACCTGTACATGTACACGCTAGATAAACTAGCATGTGTGTACATGCAGACATATATAAGAACGTTCATTGTAGCATAGTAAAGACCTGGGGAAAAAATATTCATCAGTAGGAGAATGGATAAATAAAGATTAACATAAATAGCCAAACTATTTATGTATGTAGTAGATAAAATAAATGAACTAGATCTGCTCTTCGTCTGAAACCATAAGATTGAAAAAATCAAGTTGCAGCAGGATAATTCAAATAATGCCCTATATCTAATTTAAAAAATAATAGTAAACTTACATGTATGTTAACCTCATGCCAGGCTCTATGCTGAGTACCTTTCACGGTAATAATTTGATTTTCATAACAGACCTAGACACAGAGAAGTAAATTGCCTAATGGTCAGTGTCTTAGCCTGGGTTCTCTAGAGGAGCAAAGCCAGTGAAGATACATATGTATGTATGTATGTGTGTGTGTGTGTGTGTGTATCTTTATATGAGAGAGTTTTATTTCAAGGAAGTAGCTCAAGCAGTTTTGGAGGGTGGCAAGTCCCAAATCTGTGGGTCAGGCAACAGGCTGAAGGCTTCTCCTAATTCACATGGTTGCAGGGGCTGATGATTCCAAAATTGGCAGGTCAGATAGCAGGCTACTGGTTCACAGGGCTACAGGATCTAGAAAATGCCAAAACCTATGGCTCAGACAAAGGCTACTGGCTCATGTTCAAAGACCTGGAGGTCAGAGGATAATAAGTCAGATGTAGAACTGAGGGACAGCTAGGTTTGCAAGAATATCCATATATATTGGATATAGGCCAAATTCTCAAGGAAACTGACTGGATTTTAACTAATTTGTGGTTCAACTGTTCTGCTGCTCATATTAAATCACAAAATGAAGGATGATTACATTATATTACATCCAGGGATGGAGATTATACATGGGCTCAGCAACATGGACTTCTACTGGAGACACAACACTGATTCCACTGAAGTGGAACTTGAGAATGCCACCTAGCCACTTTGGGTTCCTCATGTTTCTGTATCCATAGGCAAAAAAGGAACATACCATATTGACTGGTGGGATTGATCGTCATTACCAAGATTGACATTACATAATAGAGGTAAAGAAGAATATGTCTGAAAGACAGGAGATCCCTTAGGGTATTTCTTGGTACTACCAGGCCCCACGATTAGAAGTTTGTCCACGTGCCTCTTCCTCATACTTCCTTGTCACCAATTTTCTTTAATTTATTTTTAATTAATTAATTAATTAATTTTTTCCAGTGTTCCTTCCCCTCTCTTCCCACTCCTGGTAAGCAACAAAGAAAGTTTCCTTCCATATAGAAACCTTTCATTTTTACAATAATGAACTAATATTTCATTAAGTCAATCACATAAGCACTAATATTAAAATATTTGTGCTTATGTGATTGACTTAATTCACTCCGCATAATGTCCTCCACGTTCATCCACGTTATGCATTATTTTGTAGACTCTACATTATCCTTTAGTGTTGCATAGTATTCCATTGTGTGTATGTACCATAGTTTGCTTATCCATTCTTCTGTTGATGGGCACCTAGGTTGTTTCCATCTCTTTGCTATTGTAAATAGTGATGTGATAAAGATGAGTATGCATCTATCTGTTATTGTCCTGGATCTCATTTCTTTACGATATATACCTAGTAATGGGATTGCTGGATAAAATGGTATTTCTAATTCCACCTTTTTTTTTTTTTTAAGGAATTGCCATATTGCTTTCCACATTGGTTGTATCATTTTACAGTCCCACCAGTAGTGTATGAGCATCCCAATCTCTCCATGTCCTTGTTATTTTCTGTCTTGTTGATCTTTGCTGTTAGTCCTGGGGCAAGATGGCATCTCATTGTTGTTCTGATTTGCATCTCTCTAATGGCTAATGAGGGAGCTCTGGTAGCATAGTGGCTAAGACACTTGCCTGCTAACCAGACGGCTGGCGGTTCAAACCCACCAGCCACTCCTCAGAAGGAAGGTTGGGCAATCCTACTTCCGTAGTGATACTGCCTCGGAAACCCAAGGAGGGGTAGCTATGAGTCGGGGCCGACTCGACGGCACATAACAACAACAACAACAACAATGGCTAATGACCCTGAAATTTTTTTCATGTGTTTGTTGGCTGCCTGAATATCCTCTTTGGTGAAGTGTTTATTTATGTCTTCTGCCCATTTTTTAATTGGATTGTATTTTTGTTTTTGAGATGTTAAGAGTTTTCTATAAATTTTAGAGATAAGGCCCTTGTCAGATATGTCACTGTCAAATATTTCCAGTCTGTAGGTTCTCTTTTTACTCTTTTGGAGAAATCTTTTGAAGCATGTAAAAATTTCATTTTTAGAAGGTCTCATTCATCTAATTTCTCTTCTGCTGTTTGTGCATTTTGGGTTATGCTTGACAATCTATTTGTACCATAAATTAGGGTTCCTAAATTTGCCCTTACTTTTTTCTTGAGAAACTTTATAGTTTTAGGTTTCACATATAAGTCTTTGATCCATCTGGAGTTAGTTTTTGTGTGTGGTGTGAGGTACAGATCTTGTTTCATTTTTCTGCAAATGGATATCCAGTTTTGCCAGCTCTATTTGTTAAAGAGATTATCTCTTCCCCATTTAATGGATTTCAGCCCTTTGTCAAAAATCAGCTGACCATATGTTGATGGGTCTATTTCTAGGTGCTCAATTCCATTCCACTGGTCTGTGTTTCTGTCATTGTACCAATACCAGGCTATTTTGACAACTGTGGCTGTATAGTAGGACTTGAGATCCAGGACTGTGAGACCTCCTACTTTGTTCTTCTTCTTCAATAGTGCTTTGCTTATCCAAGGTCTCTTTCCTTTCCATATAAAATTAGTGATAGGTTTTTGCATATCCTTAAAGAAAGTTGATGGGATCTGGATTGTGATTGCATTGAATGTATAGATTGCTTTGGGTAGTATTGACATTTTCACAATGTTCAATCTTCCTATCCATGAGCATGGCATGTTCTTCCGTTTTTGTAGATCTCTTACAGTTTGTTGAAGTAGTGTTTTGTAGTTTTCTTTGTACAGCTCTTTTGTGTCCCTGGTAAGATTTATTCCAAAGTTTTTTGTTTTGTTTTGTTTTTTGTAGGTATTATAAATGGTATTAATTTTCTTATTTCCTTTTCAGCAGTCTCTTTCTGGTGTAGAGGAATCCAACTAATTTTTGTATGTTGATCTTGTATCACACCACTATCTAAATCTCTCAATTAGTTCCAGTAAATTTTTGCTGAGTCTCTTGAGTTTTCTACATATAGGAACATATTATCAGCAAGTTGGGATAGTTTGACTTCATCCTTACTCATTTGGATGCCTTTGATTTCCCTTCTTGCCTTATTGCCCTGGCTAGGACTTCCAATACAGTGTTGAATAGAAGTGGTGATAGAGGGCATCCTTGTCTGGCTCCTCTTCACAAGGGGAATGGTTTCAGTCTCTCTCCATTGAGAATAATGGTGGCTGTTGGTTTTGCATATATGCCCTTTATTATGTTGAGGAATGTCTCTTCTATTTCTGTTTTGCTGAGAGTTTTATTTATCAGGAATGGGTGTTGGATTTTATCAAATGCCTTTTCTGCGTCTGTTGATACGATAATATGCTTCTTCTCCTTTGTTTTATTTATGTGGTGTATTATGTTGATTGTTTTTCGAATGTTGAACCATCCTTGCATACCTAATATGAACCCCAGTTGGTCATGATGTATTATTTTTTTTGTTGTGTTGTTGGAATGTATGGCTAGGATTTTGTTCAAGATTTTTGCATCTATATTCATGAGGGAAATTGTTCTGGAGTTTTTCTTTTCAGTCATGTTTTTGCCTGGTTTTGGTATCAAAGTTATGCTTGCTTCATAAAATGAATTTGGGAGGATTCCATCCTTTTCTCTGTTCTGGAATAGTTTGAGTAGTATTAATGTCAGTTCTTTGCTGAATGTTTGGTAGAATTCTCCAGTGAAATCTTCTGGGCCAGAGCTATTTTTTGTTGTAATTTTTTTTTTTTTTTTTTATGATCTGTTCAATTTCTTCTTTTGTTATGGGTCTGTTCAACTTTTCCACCTCAGTCTGTTAGTTTAGGTAAGTACTGTGTTTCTAGAAATTTGTACATTTCTAGATTTTCAGATTTGTTGGAGTACAGTTTTTCATAGTGACCTGATATTACCCTTTTTATTTCAGTTGGTTCTGTTGTGATGTCACCCATTTTATTTCTTATTTGTGTTATTTGTATTCTCTCCCTCTTTTCCTTTGTTAAATTTGCCAGTGGTTTGTGAATTCTGTAGTCTTTTCAAAGAACCAACATCTAGTTTTGATGTTTTTTTCTATTGTCTTTCTGTTTATTTCTGCTTGAAGCTTTATTATTTCCTTTCTTCTGATGATTGTAGGCTTTTTTGCTGCTTTTTTACTAATTGTTTGAGATGTTGGTTTAAAGTGTTGATTTTGACACTTTTTCTTTTTGGATGTGTGCATTTGTTGCTATAAATTGGCCTCTGATCACTGCTTTTGCTGTGTCCCAAAGATTTTCATATGTTGGATTTTCATTCTCATTTGATTCAAGGCATTTTTAAATCCATTT